GTAGCAGAATSAGTAGCCGTCTTGCCTTTTTATAGTACGAGGAGGATGGCATCTAACTTTTCTCGCAAATCTTCAATATATTTTCTTGTTTTCTCCTGCTCGGTTTTTTTTCTTCCATTATTATTCTCGCCCTGCGTCTGGTGCAATAAGTGCGATGCAGTGCCGGTGAGCAAGCTATCTTGAACAATCCCTTTTGTATTTTTTTTTTTAGAAAAATAGAAGATAGAAGGAGAGAAAACCATAAATAAATAAGTTCATGATTTTATTATAAATAAATGAAGATTACAAGAGTGAAACAAAACAAACTATTGGGTCAAATTTGAACCACAAAGCTTAAATCGTTAAATTGAAAATAGATTAAAGCAGCGTATCAATAACATTGTCCCCAATGCTCTAGATCTCGTCTTTGTTCCCCAAGTCATTTGAGCATTTTTTTTCTAAGATATCAAATTGACAAGTTYCTCATGTCCTTTGAAACAGTGCTATGACATTCTTCAATGAGGCATCGCCATGAATACGATGTTTGCTTTTCAACCATTTGCGGACAGTTTCTTGGTCTTCCTCTTCCCATTATTGGGTCAGAATTTTACTATAACTCATTCTTTAATTTACTGCAAATTAGTGATTTAAGACTTAGGTCAAAGTTTGCACAATTTATGAGAATTACTTTAAAGGGGAAAAAGAAAATTTTGCCAAACTTTTTAGAAAAATATTTGAAAAAATATATATAAATAATTCATAATAATAATAAAAATGAAATGATGAAAATGAAAAAGTTAATGTCAATGTAACAAGACTCTTCTTTTCAATGCACTAAGGCCCTTTTTTTAAGTAATGAGACTCTTTTTTTATTCAATGAGACATCTCATTTTTAATGCAATGAGACATTTTTTATACATCACCTTATTAACACCAACCCAAACAAAAACAAATAAATAAATAGCAAAATGTTATGTTAGGGCTAAGATGAGTGTAAAGTTAATGCCTAGACAACCTAGAGGAAAACGGCCCCCAAATCTTCCATACGCTTTCGCAGTATGGTCAACCTGAGTGGAGAATTTCATGCGCCTGCATGGGAACCAAAATTCCACGAATGTCATACTACTCAGTCTCCGATCTAATCTTAATGATAAAGCTCGAGTAGGAGGCTTGTGAATTTGTGCGAGATGCATGTGATGCCAAATAATATTACATTATACAATAGGATATTTAAAATAATACAACATTAAAACAAAAACAAAGCGGATAAAAAAAGAAATATAATAGGATAATAAATGACAAAAATAATGGCTTGACTCTCTAAAGGTCCCAAGTGGAGTCGCCAAGCTATCGCAACGTCGTCGCGACGCTGAGCAGTTAACGTCATCCCCTGATGGGTCTCTTTCGAGATAAAGATTTAGAGTTGCCACCAATCATCTACGATGTGTGATTGATCACTTATTTTAAAAATTTGGTCTGCGAAAACAGATTTTTGGTTCGGGAGTCGACTGAACATAGGGAAGGTGTTAGCATCCTACGACATCCGTTCGAAAACGGTACCACATTTTATCATAAATTATCCTATTATTTTATTTGGTCCAAGAAAAAAAATATTTTTGTGTTTGATTAATTCACACTTTGTTATAAGATATGAATTAATAGGTATGAGTGGCACGAAGGCCATTGGAAAAAATTTTATAACCTCGAGAATATTGGAAGGTTCGAATTTTATTTTAGGGCACATTGAAACTTTAACTTGTGACATAAGTGTTGACACTCAAACATCTTACCAATATGCCAACACCTTAGGATACTACTTTTTCCTTTTTAAAATATAAACCTTTTATTTTTTGAAATTTGTTTTAAAAAAACGGAAAAAAAATATTAAAAAAACATTTTATTTAAAATAGCTGTTTAGTAAAAATAATGATATAAAAATAACAAATAAAATAAAATAACTTTAACTTGGGGAAGCAAAGACTSAAACCTAAGATATGCACACCATAAGATACAATCTAAATTTCCTTTTTAAAATACAAGTATTTATTTTGAAATTTTGTTTAAAAAAAAAA